CTGGGGGCTCCCAAAGGCCAGAGAGCCGCCAGTACGCCGCGCGACACGCGCGAAATGCAGGGTCTACCCTGTCAGGCCACAGGAGGTTCAGCGCAACGCGCCTCAAAAAAAAGGGTAGGGGCGCTTTTGTACGCCCTCGACGAAGTGTCAACCATCGGCAATCCCCACCCCCGAGGCCGACGACAGCGACGACGCCGACGACGCCGTCGCCAACGCCATCGTCGATGCTCACGCCGTCGCAGATGCCGACGCCAACGCCGACGCCGAAGCCGAAGACGCCGAGCATCGCCGACGCCGACGCAGAGGACGCCGAGGACGACGCCGAGGTCGCCGAGGACGACGACGGCGCCGCCGCCGACGGATGCCGCCGTCAGCCGGAGGCTCCAGCAGCTTCAGCGCCACCGCCGCCTCCCTGCACGACGCCGCCCCGCGCGCCCGCGCGCCGCGGCAGCGGGCGGCGCCCGGCGCCAGCAGCGAGACCGCCTGCGGCGCGGCGAGCGGCGGCGGCGGCGTCGGCGGCGGGCGGGCGGGCGGGCGGGCGGGCGGGCGGGCGCGCACGCGCGCACGCACGGACGCACGCACGCACGCACACAGACGCACAGACGCACAGACACACAGACACACAGACACACAGACACACAGAAACACAGACACACAGACACACAGACACACAGACACACAATCACACAAACACAAACACAAACACACCAGCACGCACACATACTCGCCCACCCGCCCACCCACCCAATCACCCATCCACCCACCCTCCCTCCCACCCACCACCACCACCACCAACAACAACAACAGCAACAGCAACAGCAAGCAACGACAACAACAACAACAGGGCGCCGCATTTCGTTCACAGCGGGCGGCGCGGCTGTCGGGCCCGAAGAGGCCCACACGGATCGACCAGTCTCGAGACATACAGCACACAGATGTGGTCCAGGGCTCGGGTCGCAAGTTTTCACGATGCTGGAGTTTTTCGCAGCGCTGGATCTCAGGGGAGGGACTGGGGTCCCCAAGGACCCAAGGATGGGAAACTGATCCCAGGCCGAGGCTTCACTGCTTGAGATTCTTGTCCTCAGGACGCGTCTCTTAGTAGACGAGCGCGTTCCACTACTCGCAAAATAACTACTCGCAAATGGCCTGGACCCGCCACTGGGGATCTACGATAAGCTGCATCGAAGCAGACATGTGTTTTTTTCTGACGTTTGCGAGTAGGCACTTTGCGGGTAGTGGAACGCGCTCGGCAATCTCAGGGCCTCGTCTTGGAAGTGCCAAGCGGCTGCGTCGGCGGCCTCGGGGTGCCAGCGGAGGCGGCGGCGTCGGCGGCAGACCCGGGCCGTCTCGCAGACCAGCGGCGTCGTCGGCATCGGACAGCGACGGCGGCAGACTGCGACGGCCTTGGAGCGCAGCCGGTGGCAACGACGTCGCGGACGAGGGCGGCGGGGAGGAGGAGGAGGAGGAGGAGGATGAGGAGGAGGAGTGAGAGAGGAGGAGGGGGAGGAGGAGGAGGAGGAGGGGAGCGGAGGGAGGGGGGCGGGGGGCGGCCCAGCACCAGCCAAGCCCCCTGGATCACCAGGGCGATACAGCAGGAGCCCGACCACAAGACACCTTCCATCAGAAACCTAACATTGAAGCCCCAGGACATCCGTTGAGTTTTGGTGTGGGAGCGTTGCGCTTTCCAGATCAGAACCATCGAAGCCCAAGAAACCCAGGGCACCATGGAGGCAAGCAAGGTGTTCCTTGGCATGGGCCCCCCACTTCTGTGCATGTTTTGGCCCTTTCTCTTTCAAGTCTCTTACAGCAGGCAGGATGGATGGCAGCTCCTTGTCGACAAGGGCTTGCTCGCCTACATGGCAGACCCCTGGGGCGCTCGCCTTCCAAAGCGGCGCCACCCGTAGTGAAAGAGACTGCGTGTGGGGACTCGCGAGGAAGGGACTCGGGACCAGAAGGCGTGTGGCAGCATCGCTCGTGCGTCCTGGGGTCACTCTGCAGTAGGAGCTCGACCACAAGAACCCTTCCACAAGAAACCCAACCCTGAGACCCCAGGGTGTCCCTTGAGTTCTGGTGTGGGAACGTCACGCCTTCCCTGGCGAAGCCGTCGAAATCCAACAAACCCAGGGCACACTGGAGGCAATCAGGGTGTTTCTTGGCATGGGCCCCCACTGTAGTGGGGCTCCCGGCTGGGAGGGGGCGGGGGTGGGCTCCGCTGTCCAGGCGGTGCGCGGCGACCGCAAAACCGAAAACCGACCGGACCGATTGCGAAACTGAAACCGACAGCCTCGAAGGGCGCAACGACGCGGCCACGACACGACAACCGACCGAACCGCACCGACCGAACGCAACCGACTGCGACACTACCGAACGGACCGAACCGCGAAAACCCTCGGGTGGGTTCTTGGACGCCAGACTATCCGGGATCACTGCGGTCCGAGGCAACTCCTGTCTGGGCCCCCGAAGCGCGAATCTGTAGCTGCCCCTGGCTGCCCCAAGCACC